TACCAGCTTAAGTTTTTCAGCATAGGCATTATTTTAATACTGGGTAACACCTGCCTTTCATTACTTTTGGAATTGCATTGCAAGACTTCTATTTTATTTGTCTCTGGCAACAAACTTTGTAAAAAGCATTTCTGGGAAGGAGTCATCTTTTTCCAGACATGTGCTGCTCAGTTGGGAAAGGACTATAAACCATTCCTTGTTTCCCTGCATCTCAGATGGGATACACATAGAAACAACAGAAACATGGTGCCTCTTTTTGGGGCATCAGTTTTATTCAAAGATATTGCAGGGGGTGGCTTCATGGTAATATTGACACAAGCGGAAGAAAGTATGAAGCCCACAAGAGTTGGCAAGATGAAATGAGATTTCCCAGAAATAAAGCAGCAGGAGCGCTTCACGTAGGCTCTACTGTCAGGTCCCCAAGGTGTGTACATTCACTCACTCTCCTTGGAAAACACAAGAAGCTGTGGCTGGGTGCTTTCAAAAGGGTGCAGTTGCCTAGAGTGTGTCCACTTTGGAACCAGAACTAGCAGTGCTACCTTGGCCAAGTCACTTAACCTTCTGATTCTTTGGAAAAGTGAGTTGAACTCAGATCATCTGTTGCAGCCCCTCCAGCTCTGACATTTCTCTGTATAACCTCCACTATTTCTGCCAACCAAAAGAACATACAGGGTAGAAGAGTCAAGTAGTACTGTGTTGTTTTGTGTTTCCTGATGGATAAGGAGTCTTAATGTTTCTTAGAGATGGGGTCTCACTGTTGCCTAGGCTAGACTCAGACTCCTAAGTCAGGCTCCCAAGTAGCTGGGACTACAGGCACATGCCACCATGCCTGGCCAGAAATCTTTTAATCATTGTATTAGTTTGATGGGGGAGCTGGAACAAAATACCACAGACAGGTTTAAACAAATTTTCTCCTGAAGGCTAGAGGTCCAGCATCAAGGAATAAGCAAGATTCTTTCTCCTGAGGTCCCTGAGGGAAGAATCTGTTCTAGGATTTTCTCCTTGACTTGCCAGTGGCTGTCTTCTCCCTGTGTATTTATGTCACCTTACTTCTGTACTTGTGTCCAGATTTCCTCTTCGTGTAAGGACACCAGTGTTACTGGATTAGGACCCACACTAATGAACTCTTAATTACCTCCTTAAAGTCCCCATCTCCCAAGATGATTCTGAGTTACTGGAGATTAGGACTTCACCATAAAAATTCAGGGAGGACAGTTTGGCTCATGATGTTGTCTCTGAATTTTTTTTTTTTTAAATTTCTGGAAACAGGATCTTGCCCTGTCACCCAGGCTGGTGTGCAGTGGCACGATCATAGCTGACTGCAGCCTTAAACTCCTGGGCTTAAGCGATCCTCCCACCTCAGCCTTCCAAATATCTGGGACTATAGGTGTGTGTTGCCACACCCAGCTCATTTTTAACTTTTTTTTTGGTAGAGTCTTGCTGTGTTGTCTGGGCTGGTTTGGAACTCCTGGCCTCAGGTGATCCTCCCACCTCAGCCTCCCAAAACATTGAGATTATAGCTTGGAATGTTTTTTTAAAATCGCTGTTCTAGGTCACTTGTTTTTGGAGGACAGTGTTGGTAAATTGCAGGGATGGCCACCAGGGCACATCTGAGGGAACAGAATGATAGTGCTCAAAGGTGAAAGTAACTATCAACACGTGAAGGTGTTGGAAACAGATGGCAGTGGATGTGGGTGAGGCCTATTGAGAGCTCACCATCTTGACTCTGGTGTGCCGGCCGGTTGTTGGAGCACAGCTTCTCAGTGATGTGGTGGTAACTTCCCACACACATTCATCAGCTGCCAACTCCAGCGCCAGATTCTGGGATTTTAGAGAAAAGGGACGATTATGATAGCAAGCTCACACCTGTGTGCTTTAGTCACTGTCATTGACTCATCAGGAAATACCACGACATGCCGTGTGCACCAGCATGTTCAGCAGTCATGACTCCCACCCCCACCCGGCTTGCCTTTTTGTCATCCTTCCATGCTTAATATGAGTCCTTTGGGCTTCCTGCACACGTGAGTCATTAATCCAGTGGTTGAAGTTTTACACCTGGTGGCTCCCAAGAGCTTGCGTTGTCGTGAATGTGAGATCAGAGACATTTGGCAGATGAAGCAGTGGTGGCCATTTTATGCTGCAATCCTGAGTGGAACCCAGGAAATGGCTGACGCCCACTGCAGTTTGTTACCTTTGATGTAAACCTTTCGGTTTGTACATCAAATGTACCCTTAGCAAGGCTCCTTCTGTGGTGCAAGCTTGGTGTTTTTGTGCTTTTAGAATAAGACCAAATGAATTTGGTAACCTGGGGGAATAGCTCAGATAGGCAATTACATTACTTTGATGCATAAATAAAAATGAAGGCCGGGCACGGTGGCTCATGGCTCACGCCTATTATCCCAGCACTTTGAGAGGCCGAGACAAGGTGGGTTACTTGAGATCAGGAGTTCGAGACCAGTCTAGTCTGGGCTGTCTTTAACAAAAATATGAAAATTAGCCAGGGGTCGTGGTGTGTGCATGTAATAGGCTACTTGGGAGGCAGAGGCAGGAGAATTGCTTGAACCCTGGAGGTAGAGGTTGCAGTGAGCTGAGATTGTACCCCTGTACTCAAAATATATAAATGCATTTGATTTTGAAACCTTGTATTTCTGAGTTGGACTGAAAACCAACAAAAAGAAGACCCTTCTTGGTAGTAGAAGTCGGTAGTTGGCATCACAGACTTTGAACATACTTATCTTTTTATTTTTATTTTTTTTACTTTTAAGATATAGAATCTCGATCTTGTAGCCCAGGCTGGAGTGCAGTGATGCAATCTCAGCTAACTGCAACCTCCACCTCCTGGGTTCAAGTGATTCTCTTGCCTCAGCCTCTTGAGTAGCTGGGATTACGGGTACCTGCCACCACGCCCTGCTAATTTTTGTATTTTTAGTAGAGATGGGGTTTCACCATGTTGGCCAGGCTAGTCTCGAACTCCTCAGGTGATCCACCTGCCGCAGCCTCCCAAAGTGCTAGGATTACAGGTGTGAGCCACTGTGCTCGGCCTCTAGATCTGGTTTTTGCAGCACTTGATGTGTTCTGTTGTAAATCTCTGTATCCCTGGGACCTAGCACAGTGACTGCCACTCAAATCTTGACCCTCTGTTTCCTTCTGAGAAAAGCAGGATTCTCCCTCTGGTTTTGACTATTTCATTATCTGAATTTAAGCTTTTGTCATTGTGACCTGAAACAAATTCCTGCCACTATTTTTTAAATTGTGTGTATTAGAATGAACTGTATGCATCAGAAGTTTGTTAACAGTCAGTATTTAGTGGAGCTGTGCCTTGTGTTGTTTTCTCTGAGTATTCTGAAAACAGACTGTGGAGGTAGTAATTGGCGAGTCCTCTTAAAATTTACATGCTTTTCTTTTCCCCCAGAAAGCTAGGGATTACCCTTTATTCTTTGTGAACTCCAAATTTAATAAACTGGATTTACAGAGAATAGGAGTGACTTGTGAACCAACTTACTCCCTCGTCATTGGGCTCGAGGCTGGCAGATGGCTGTGGAGAAGTGTTTCCCAGAGCACTTGACACATAGAAGTCAGAGAACCTTTGCTTCCGCCTGGGCAATATAGTGAGACCTCATCGCTACGAAAAAAAAAAAAAAATTAGCTGGGCATGGTGGCATTCACCTGCAGTCCCAGCTGCTCTGTGGCTGAGGTGGGGGTTGGGGAGCGTGGGGAGGGGTGGGATCTCTTGAGCCTGAGAGATGGAGGAGTGAGCAGTGATCCGTGATCGCACCACTGCACTCCAGCCTGGGCGACAGTCAGACCCTGTCTTAAACCCTTGCTGTACTGTCACATACAAAAGAAAAGTAAGGTCTAATGTCAGCTAATATTTACTGGGTGCCTCACTTCCTGTGGGTCAGGTACTGTGCTGCGCACTTTGCCAACACGAATTCGTTTGAATCCTCATATGGCTGTGAGTCAGGCTTTAGTAACGCTCCTTTCCACACGGGGCACTCAAAGATGAAAGTGGTGAAGGCGTTTGCCCAAGGCCCGACGTTTGTAAGAGGAAGCGCCCAGATTTGGGGCCGTGGCGCCTCACGGATGCCTCTGGGTGTCCAGATCCCCTGAAGAGGAGTGGCCAGCTCGGCCTCTTGGTGTAAGCCCGCCTCCCCTGGAACTCCAGGGGCCTTAGGCCCTCTGCGCTGTGCCCACTGACCAGGGTGCCCCGCTCCCGGGCTGCAGCCTTTGCGCCCCCACTGGCCCTGATCCCCTGTGTCCTGGCTTCTCTGCGGTGTCGTCCACCGGCAGGTTCCGGGGAGTTTTCTGCAGGATGCCAGGTTTGATCCCCAGCAGACTTGGCTCATCGCCCGGTCTCATGGGACGGAGGCGCTCCCCGTCCCAGCGCCTTGGCTGGAGCCTAAAGGGCCCGAAGGACGGGGCCACGGCCCGTGTGCGGTGAACAACGTTCGTTCCCAGACTTCCCGGTGCCGGGCCCGGGGCTAGGCAGGATCGGTTAGCGAGAAAGTGAGGAGGAGGATGCGCGACTAACCTCCAACCCACAAAGGCTGGGCCCAAACCACCCTCCCTGAGCGCCGCCTCCGAGCCAGGCTCGGTCCTACACTCTGAAGACGTAGACACTCCGGTCCAGTGTCACTTGTCCTCGAGTAAGAGGAGAGAGATAACAGACGAGCGAGGGAGTCGCAAGGGCTCTGCAGAGAGTGAGGCGTGAGTGGTGGTCACGGAAGGCTTCCCAGAGGAGGCGGTGCGGAAGCCGCCGCTCGGATGACGTGGAGGAGTCAGCCAGGGACGGGAGGGGTAGAGGCTCTCCAGGAGGAGGGACCCGTGAGTGAGGCGCGAGGGATTCAGCGCCCCCAGCCCGGGAGGAGGCGCCCTCTGAGCTCTGGGCCAGGCGCTCCCACCCTTCCAGGCGGAGCGCCGGCCGTGGGCGGTGCCAGGGCCCTCGCGACCTGTGATTGGACGGCGCGGCCGAGCGGAGCGGCTCCGCGGGCGCCGATTGGTGGGCGAGGCGGGTCGCCGCCGCCAGGTGATCCGGGGGTCGGCTCCCGCGGCCACGTGGGGGGCGGGCGGACGGGGGACGGGGGACGGTGGACAGGGGGCGGGGACGGCGGGGAGCGGGCACCCGGGCGCGGGGCGGCGGCGGGAGACGCAGGGATTGCGGGCCGGAGCGGCGGGGGGACGGGAGTCAAGAGGCGGTAAGTGAGCGCCGGGAGCGGGGCAGGGGCGGGGGCTCGGTCCGCGGGCGTGGGCGGGGGGGGGGTCTCGGGAGTAAGGGGCGCCCATCACCCGCTCCGTCGTCATCTGCCCTCTCTGCCACCGTAGCCTCGTCCGTCCCCTGCAGCGGCGCTCAGCCCGCTCCTGGGTCCGGGGACTCTGCCTGGCCGTCCCTGGCCATCCCCCTCAGCGCCCCGAGCAAGGTAGCGCTGCGGGACCCGCAGCCCACACAGGAGCGCTCCGCACCCCCGCGCCCGCCCCTCGGGGGCCTCGGCTCTTCAGCCCCAGGAACCGCACTTCGCCTTCGGTGTCGCCCGTTACGGGAGGCCGTGAAGCAGCAGCCCCAGCACACGCACGCACCTCCCTTCTACTCACCCCGCCGTCATCACTTTCGTTCCCCTTTGCCGCCCCCATCACCCCAGCTGGGTGCCATAGAGGACGAGGACCTTCGTCCACCAGCGGCGGTGCCTGACACACAGCCGCGGAAACATTCCAAGAAGGACCAGAGATCCTTCTTCCAGGGGATCCCCACCCTACACCTGATGACCTGGAGGCTGAGAGCTTAAGTGACTTGCCCACGGTCACACCAGCCAACCTCGTTAGACCCCACAGTCCAAGTTCTTGACCCCTGGCTTGGTATCCTTGGGTTTCCCCGACGCTGTTGCCCAGGGCAGGTGGGCATGCGTTGGGCGGTGGGTGTTGGGCAGCCCCAGATCCTCCGGCCAGGAGGCAGCACTCAAATTCCCCAGCAGGCGGCTTCCAGCTTACCTCCTCATGGACTGGCGGGGGCCCCCCACAAACTCCAACACTAGACACCCTGCTTATCTGTGGGAGAGGAGTCCCGCCATGGCCTGAGGAAGCAGCCCCAGAGACATGAGTTTGATTCCCTGCTCTCCCGCTTAAGCTGTGTGACCATGGGCAAGTGACTTCACTCCTCTGAGCCACCCGTTCCTGACCCAGGTTCTGTGGGCTGGTGGTTTCCCTATGACACAGCTAAGCTATGGTGCAGTGCCCCAGAGGGCTTCTGCGCCAGACCCACGAAACAGGCCATCCCATCCTGTCTCCTGTCTCTGAGCATCGCCACCTGGAAAACCTCAGAGGAGAGCCCCATCCTCATCCCAAATGTGTCCCCTTCTGAAAGTGCTGACCCAGCCAGACTCCAGTGTAAAACCTCAGAAAAACAGGTCTGCCCCAAAGAGATCAGTGGGGGTTTTGTGCCTAGAATGGTTGTCTGCTTCAGGTTAGAGAGAGCCCCATGCCCTCCCTGGTCTCCTGGGAGCCCCCACCCCCACTCCAGGCCTGAGCTGAATGCACAGTGCCCCTCAGGCTTAGGAAGGAGGGAGGAACTTCCAGTTTCCAAAAGGACCGGGGAGATGGGGAAGGATCAGGTGATAGTGGGTGGGGTGGGGCCCCTAAGAGGGCCAGTGGTCTGGCCTCCACACCCCTACACCTGGGACACTGAGGATGCCTAAAGCTGCAGCTCTGGGTGTGGAGGGAGGGGCTGCTGCAGCCCGGAACACAGCTGTGTGCGCGTGTTGAGTGTGAGATGCCGGAGCTGCTCCTCCCCATCTCACACTTGGTGCCGGAGGGGCTGCATCCGCCCGCCCGGCAGAATGGGAAATGTGCCCTTCCCCTCTCCCCGCAGCTCTCCTTTCTCTCCTTTGCTTTTTCTTGCCCTTCTCTGCTCCTTCCTCTGTCCCCGGCCACCCCTCCATCCTCCGTACCTTCCCTCTCCTTTTCTCCGCATTGTGTGGTCTTTGCCCCCTCCCTCCTCACTGGCTGCCATCCTGGCTGATCATGGCCCCAGGATGTGACTGTGAAGTTGAAAGGTGGCTTCACTGGAAGCCCCCTCCCATCCCCTCCTTACCTGGAAGCGATGTCATGCGGCTTTAGCGCCGGTTGCACATCTAACTTTGCTCTATTTAAACATAAAAGGTACAGTAGGTAAAGAATATGATGTGAAAACGGTCAGGATGCAATGGCCCAGAAAAGCAGGGGGGCAGCCAGGATAGGAGGGGGCACCAGGAAGCCTCAAGGGGATGGCGCAGGTGCAGCGTTTTTTTTTTTTTTTTTCTGGCTCCTAGCTGCTCACTGAAAGTGGACCGCTGCAGGCACCTCCACCGCTGGCCTGATCCTGGGGTTAAAGGTCATGGGCAGGCAGAGACGGGCCCTTCCCAGGCTCTTGGTGCTAAGAGTCAGTTCCAAAGCCCCCTGACCTGCCTCCTTAAGCAGGAACGCACCAGGGACCCGTCCTTGCTGCCCAGGGCCTTGATTGGTACCTGCTCTCTGTGGTGGGAATCAGAGCCCCTCCCACCCCGGGTGGGCGCCTTTCGGTGTGGCCAAGGACAAGGAGGGGAACAGAAGTGGTCAGACCCTGGTGTCCTCCCAGGCTCCCTCCTGAGCAGCAGGCTCTGTTGAGTTCAGGTCCAAGCCTGGCTGGCGTCGGGCTGGGCTTCGGCTCCTGCATTCAGTCCTCATCTACCCATCATGTGACCCAGGTTTGCAGATGAGGAAAGGGAGGCTCAGAGGGTTGGGGCAGCTTGCCCAAAGTCCCACAGAATTTGGACCCAGGACTCTCTGATCCCAAGTCAGTGATGCATTAATTCCATATTAATTGAATACCAGCTGCCTCCTGGGCTCTCATGGGAAATGGTGTGTTCCCTGCCCTTGAGGACAGTCACCTAAGGGGGTCCACACCTCTCTTTCATGACTGGATATGGGAGAGGGACCCTAGGAAAGACTAGAACCTGGGTGGGCTGCGTGGTGGGGCGGGTGCTCCTCAGTCCCCAGGGCAGTTCTCCTTACCCGCACCCTGTCTGCATCAGCGCACTGTCTGGCTGAGTTCTGGTTTTCATGATCTGCAAGGGGCTGGGAGACTCAGGAGGAGCTGGAGGCCGGCTTGGGCTGAGTGAGGCAGGGGCCCCTGCAGCAGGTCCCTAGCCTCATCAGCTCATGGCCATCTGTCTTCATTAACTACAGAGCTCCTACCCTAGAACCTGCTATAGCTCCCCACTACCCACAGGGCAGGGTCTGAATTCCCTAGTCTGGCATCTAAAGCTGATCCCAAACTGGATCCAGTCTGTTGTTCTGGAAGGTCTGAGTTTGGCCTGCAGGCCCCGCTGCCTCCCTTCCTTTGTGCCTTGCAGACTCTGTTTCTGCGGTTGTCACTGCCTTCTCTTTTCTATGGCGCCCTCTCAGGTGGCCCTCCCTTCCCTCTGGCACTTTGTGCAAGCTGGTTACAGGTCCATCCCCTGACTTCCACCCCCTGGGGGCAGGCCCCAGCCCAGGGCACCAGGATCCTCAGTGCTTGCTGAGTGAATGAGCGAGTGACCCTGGGCATGTACTGCCACGCCGTTCAGAACTTGACCCAAACCTCCCCTCCTCAGTGAGGGCTTCCCCGAAGCTGACGGTTCACAGCCTCCTCCCTGCTCCTTTCCCGTCTCATGTATGGTCGATCTTACTATTTAGTTCAGTGTCTTCCTCCCCAACAACAATGGAAGCTCCCCGAAGGCAGTCAGAGATGTCATCTTTTTCTTTGGGCTTGGCTCCTCCACAGCCAGGGCACTGCTCAGCACTGCTGCACACAGAGCAGCCTCGCAGGAAGCCGGTGAATGGATGGCCTGTGGGGGGCACTCTTTGGCTTGCCTGCCTCGAAAGCAGCCCTTCCCCGTGCCCTTTGCAGCCTCCCCTCCCTTGGAGCTGGAAGCCAGACACCCTGGGGGCCATGCAGAAGTCGGGGGCTGGGGGCCGCAGGGCCTCTGACTGCGGGCTGGCCCCTCACCGGCCCAGGTGCATCACCAAGTTTGCCCAGGTGGGTGGGGCTGCCCGGTCCAGGTGCTGGTGGTGGGAAGTGCTGGGGGTCAAGGACCTATTTCCACATCTTTCTTCCCTGACCCGGGCTGGGGAGTGCATGTGTGCCCTGATGAGGGGCTGGGACTTCAGACAGCCTTAGTGACCTGACCAAGGTCACCTGCTGGGAAAGCAGCAGAGCCTGGGCTCCGAGAATCGAGGTCTGTCTGTCCACGGCCTGCCCAGCAGAGCAGATGTGTGTTCGGGGGGCATTTGGAGGATGGGGTCAGAAGCCATGGGCCTGACTCCCCGCCCCGCTCCCTCTGCCCCACTGCCGAGCAGTACGTGGGCTCCTTCCCCGTGGACGACCTGGACACCCAGGACAGCGTGTGGCTGGTGCAGCAGCAGCTGTGGGCGCTGAAGGTGGGTGGCCTGGGAGGGCACTTCCCTAGTGAAAGTCACAGCCTTGAAGACCAGATCAGCTCCGAGATCAGATCCACCCTCTCCACGTTAGAGATGGGCAGAGAAGCCCAGAAACGGGCAGGACACAGGCCCTGTTGGTGGCGGGCTGCTCAGGACACACACCCAGGTTCGGGGGCCCCATCCCTTACATCCTGGGCTGCTAAGACCTGGGCCCCACAGCTGGAAGCCACAGATGAAGATGTGGGTGATAGTCATAGCCTGGCCAGCGGTGGCTGTGGCTAGGGGTGGTCTGCCCGGAGCCTTCCACACTTCCCCAGCACCAGGGGTTCCACCAGGCAGGACCCCACCCCCCGGCAGGGGTGGTGGAGTGGGTGGAGTGGGCTGACAGCCTTTGGTGGTCGGCACTGAGGCTGAGCGGCCAGCGGGGCGTGGGAGGTGGCGCCTGTCCCCACTACTCTTCTCCACTCAGGATTATCCCCGACGCCGCGCCGTCATCCTGAAATTCAGCCTGCAGGGTCTCAAGATCTACAGCGGGGAGGGTGAGGTAGGAGCCCCTGGGGTGCGGGTGAGGACTGGACGGGTACAGGCGTCTCCACCCTCAGACGCGCTCTCCTCCACCCGGGTCCTGGCCTCTAGCCTTAGCTCGGCCCCCGTGCTTCCCCTGGGTCCCCCTGGCGTGCCCACCTAACAGCTCTGGGCCTTTGGACTTTCTCCAAGGGCTGCCTCCCAGGGCCAGCTCGGGCAGCAGCTTCCCACCCCTGGGCCTCCAGAATCCTGGGGGCCACCGCCCCACCTGAGCATCAGGAACATCCAGCCACTGAGGCTCTGGCAGCTGCCCCGTCCCATCCTGCCTGGTGGGCCGTGCGCAGCGTCGCCCAGGTGCGGTAGGGCTGCTGGCTGGCCACTGCCCCTCCTCCCTGCCAGCTGTAGTCTTGTCCTCCTGCTGAGCCAGCGTGGGGCAGACACTAACCGTGTACCAGACTGCACCCCACAGCTGCGGGCATCAGTCACTTACCACTGAGGCACACCTGGTGTCCCCAGAGCTGGGCATTGCGGGGCCCTGGGGTCACGTCCTGTGCCGCTCACGTGAGGTCCCACTGATCCCCACCAGCAGCCCTGTTGAGAGGTCCTGGTACCTCCCTACCTGACACGTCACAACAGGCACTCAGAGGACTGCCCTCACCTGCCCAAGTCACAACTGAGTGGCAAAGCCAGGATTTGAACCCCAGTCACCTGCCTCCAGGAACCAGGCGTGTCACCCCAGTGCCTGCCACCACTCCCGTTCTCTGTGCCACCAGCAGACTGAGCATAACATGGGGGTGGTGATCTTGAGCCCAGGGGCCACATGAAGGACAAGGGCTTGAGACTGGGGGGCCTGGAAGGAGGGAGGTCTCTTCACTCCTGCAGGCTGGCGAGCAGGGGTGGGATCACCTGGTGGGTCTGCTGGGGGCCTCATGCTGCTGCCTTGCCAGGTGCTGCTGATGGCACATGCCCTAAGGCGCATCCTCTACTCCACCTGGTGCCCCGCCGACTGCCAGTTTGCCTTCATGGCCCGAAACCCACGAAGCCCAGCCAGCAAGCTCTTCTGCCACCTCTTCGTGGGCAGCCAGCCAGGAGAGGTATCTGGGACCCGAGGCAGGGGACTGCCATGGAGGCCAGAGGAGTCGCGTGCTGGGCATCAGAGCAGGTTCCTTGAAGGCTTTGCCAGGGCAGCCTGATCCCCCTCCAGGCATACACAGAGCCCCTCAGTGTGGCTCTGCCCACTGAGAACACCACAAAGCAAGTCAGTGGCCTCAGCATTTCCCGGGGCCGGGGGGTGGGAACTTGGCCACACGCCTGGAGAGTGGAAATTCACACAGCCAGGCCTTTGCTCATGCCGTTCTGCCTTACATCCCCCTCCCCTTCTCATCCTGGTGCATTCCACTCACTCTTCAGGGCTCAACCCACGTGTCTGAACCCCTCCTTGGCCCCTCTGGATGACCCCTCTCTCTGGAGCCCTGGGGCATGAACTGCGCGCTACCATCATCTGCCCTAATTACAGGCACTTGTGTTCTTTGAGGACAGAGTCTGGACCAGGTCTTGAGACAGCCCTTGGCCCAGAGCAGACGGGGGTGGGCAGGTAGATCAGAAAGTCAAAGCCAGCCTGGCTGTCGTGAACGGTGAATGACAGAGCCTCGGCGACCAGGCGCGGCAGGCAGACGCTGGGTTTGGTTCTGTCCAGCAAGCATTTGCTGTCATCCTGTACATCCAGCCCTGTGCTGGATACTGGGGTGACAGGTAGCTGAGACATGGTCCCTGATCTTCTGACGCTCAGGGTTCTAACACGTGGCGCCTGGACGGTGTGTGTGGCACGTGGGATGCACTGCTCCCTACAGCACTGGGCCTGCACTGGGAGTTTCCTGTGCTCCGTTTCACTGACTCCTCAGAGGGGCATAGGGAGGTGGGGATGAGGAAACTGAGGCACAGAGAGCTGCCATGCTCTGCCCAGGGTCACACAGCGGCTCCTACATGACAGAGCCAGGACTGGAATCCAGGTTCTGACTTCAGGCCTGGGCTCTGGGCTATTCCTGGAAGAGGGTGCTACTCGATGTGCACGGCTGGGGGGACCTGGGGGCGGGAGTGCCTGAGCTCACGCGTCCATTCTCCTGCAGCACAGCAGGCCCTCAGTGTTTGTTAAATAGATAAAGGAAGCTGGTGGGGGAGCCTGCAAGGTGGTGAGGTTTTGAAGGAGAAGTAGGAGTTTTCCCGGGAAGAATGGGAAGAGCATCCAAAGCCAAGGGGCTGTGTGCACCCATGGTGGGTGGGTTGAGGCTCAGTGAGTTCCCTGGGAGACGGAGACCCCCTCCCACTGAGCCCACCCCTCTCCCTCCTCCAGGTCCAGATCCTGCACGCGCTCCTGTGCCGCTCTTTCCAGCTGGCTTACCTCTTGCAGCACCCTGAGGAGTGGGCCCAGCCCGAGCCCTGCCCAGGGCCCACAGGGGAGGTGACCCTCAAGCCACTGTCCAGTTCTGGAGGTCCCTCTGGGGGCTTGGTGCGGGAGCCCTTTGGTCGCGATCAGCTCTCTCAGAATGTTCACGCACTGGTCTCCTTCCGGCGGCTGCCAGCAGAGAGGCTGGTGGGCAGTGGGGTACGCAGCACCCCAGCCAAGGAGTGGGCAGTGGACAAGGGAACTGGGTATGGGTTTGGGGGCATGTCAGGGGCGGGGGCTTCACTTGGCCTGACGTGGCTGGACCTGAGTCTGCTACCTGCCCGTGGGCCCCTCTTGGTGCCTTAGAAGGAGCTGCCAGAGTCAGAAGGCCGTGCCCGCCATGCCCGCCTGGGGAATCCCTACTGCTCACCCACGCTGGTGCGCAAGAAGGCCATTCGCAGCAAGGTGATCCGCTCGGGGGCCTACCGCGGCTGCACCTACGAGACCCAGCTGCAGCTGTCGGCTCGGGAGGCCTGTGAGTTGTGGGAGTGCGCCTGCCCTGTGTGCACCAGGACCGTGCCTGTGTGCTCCTGGGCCAGCCAGAGGTGGGCATGAGTGCCCGTGTGTGTGTGTGCGCGTGCATCGTGGTCTGTGCACAGGGGACTGCAGACAGTTGCAAATGACGAGAACCAGCGGGTGGAAGGCCTGTGTGTGGATGTGTCTGCTGAGCAGGGCAGAGAGGGCTGGGGAGGACACCCCCGTGTGTGATGAGGACTCGGCCACTCTCCTGACTCCTGATGGTCTCCACAGTTCCTGCCGCTTGGGAAGCCTGGCCACGGGGTCCTGGGGGCCACGCGTGCCTGGTAGAGAGCGAGGGCAGCCTGACGGAGAATATCTGGGCCTTCGCTGGCATCTCCAGGTAGGAAGGGCCTGGCCTGGTCCAACGCCCAGTTCCTTGGGGTGGGCAGAGAAATGTGGGCTTCCCAGACCCTGAGGCACACACTCCTGTGCCCTGGCAGAGCGCTCCCAGCCTCAGTGACCTCAGGCCTGGGACTTCACCACCCTGGGCCTCTGTTTTCTCAAATGTAAAATGGGGTTAATGAAAGGAGCTTCATCTTAAGGCTGTGGAGAGGGTCAGTGAGGTCATCCGGGTGGAGCCCTCAGCACCCGACCTGCACAGGGCAGCCCCCTAAGCCTCCACCCTTTAAGCTTCTCTCCTGAGGCTGTCTTGACATTGCCAACAATTACAGACCCTGGAGAAACCTTTTAAGCTTCTAAAAGCTTCTTGCTGTTGAGCCTGACTCTGAGTCAGGCCCCATATCGGGTTTTGTTGTTGCTTTTTGTTTTTAAATTCTATTTTAGAGATAGGGTCTCATTCTGTCGCCCAGGCTGAAGTGCAGTAGCACCATCATGGCTCACTGCAGCCTCGAACTCCTGGGTTCAAGTGATCCTCCTGCATGGGCCTTCCGAAGTGCTGGGACTACAGGCGTGAGCCACTGTGCCTGACGAACGCCCCATGTGTTTAAGGGCATTTAATCCACAGGCCGCCTGGATGTGTAGGGCTCGTTGTGACCGGTGCCCAGGAGAGCAGTGCTGCCTTCACCCTGTCCCCTCTGTGCCCCTAGGCCCTGTGCCCTGGCCCTGTTGCGGAGAGACGTGCTTGGGGCCTTCTTGCTGTGGCCTGAGCCGGGTGCCAGCGGCCAGTGGTGCCTGTCCGTGCGCACGCAGTGCGGTGTGGTGCCCCACCAGGTCTTCCGGAACCACCTGGGCCGCTACTGTGTGGAGGTAAGAGGGCAGCGGCCAGAGGGTCTGGGCCCCGCCCCATCACTGCTCCATCCCTGCCCCTTCCTGCCCTGCCCTTTTCTCACTGCTGAGGTCCTGAACGCCTCACCCCTATCCCTGTCTCCCATTGGCTCTCTCTGGCCTCACCCCTCATCCAATTCCATCCTGCCTCTGCCGTCCTGCTCCTTCTTCATTGGCCCTGCTGGCCTTGCCCCCAGCTGGCCCACTTGGCCCCACCTCTGCTGGCTCCACTCTGACCTGAAGGCTCTTGGAGGGCAAGGGAGGTCCCTGGTCACTGAGGGCCCCTCTCTCCAGAGGAGGCTTCAAAGGGTACCTGTAACAGAGTCTTGAGCTGGGGTCATGTCTAACATTTCTGCAGGAATCCTGGCTTTCCCATACCCTAGCCCATCTTAGCAGAGGAGGAAACTGACTCAGAGAGGGCAGGAGCTTGCCTAAGCCCACACAGCCTCTGAGTCTCCAGTGTGATGTCTTGTTCTGCCCCACCCGCCCTGGTTTCTAGGAATGGGAGGGGCTGGTGAGGCTTTTCACATGTGCGTCCTTACTTCCAAGCTAAACCTCTCAGTCCCGCCCAGGCTGGGAGAGAGAGAGGGAATGGTGCCTGGTTCTGCGCCGGCAGCCCATGTGAAGTCTCTGGGCTCTGTCCGCTGCTGTCTAAAGTGGGCAGGTTCCTGTGGGAGCAGGTGGCTGGTGCCTGGCCTGAGCCCTGGGGAAGGGGACTGGAGCTGAAGCCCCTTCCTCCCCAGCACCTGCCTGCGGAGTTCCCCAGCCTGGAGGCTCTGGTGGAGAACCACGCGGTTACGGAGCGCAGCCTCTTCTGCCCCCTCGACATGGGCCGCCGGAATCCCACCTACGAGGAGCAGGACTGTGGGCCCCCAGGCAGGCCGCCCCGGACTCTCCGGCCCCTCAGCCATGCCAAGTCTGAGGCAGAGCTACAGGGCTTGGGCTAAGAGGTAGGGGCCCGTCCCACAGGCCCCGCCGCTCCCCGGCTCCGGGGCCCCAGCAGCCTCTCTGCCTGTCTTGCACCCTCTGGCCGCCAGTTCCATCCAGTCACCCTGCCCTTGGAGCAGTCTCCATCGCTTCCCTGTCCGTGGGAGGGGCGCCCTGAGGTTGGGTATCGCCACTGGCTTCTCGCAGAACGTGGGGTCCGCTGAGATGCCAGGAGGGCAGGTGGAGTTGCAGGCTTCGGATGAGCCGGCTAAGCTGTCGGGTGGCTTCGGATGCTGGGACTTCTGGGCTTCCACTTTGTCCTGGGCCAGGAGCCTGTTCACGGCAGAGGTGCGGCCCTCCCCTAAGGAGGCCAGGCCTTCGGGCCTTGACTGGAAGTCTTCAGAAAGCTCAGGAGACGAGTGAGAGTGGGGGGCTTGGGGAGGCAGCAGTGAGTCCTCACTCTGGGCAAAGGCCTGGGGGAGCCACCCTGTCTCTGAGCAGAGACTGCTCCGTGGAGCTTGTGGCCAGGAGGCTGGGGCCAAGCCCCATCCGGGCTGACAGAGCAGAGCCCCATCCGGGCTGACGAGTGTCTGAGAGTAAAGGATGGGTGGGACCTGCAGAGAGGGCAGGAGGGACAGAGCGGTGCCCAGCGCTCACGCCGGGGCGTGGGGGTGGGGGGGGGCTCCTGTGTGCGGAAAGCAGCGCGCACCATCAGACAGGCCGAAGCTCTCCACGCCGGCTCCACCCAAACCTCAGGGCTGTGCTTCCTTCTCTCTCAGAAGGAATACCCTGGCTCACGCTCTCCCCAGGAATCACCAGGACACCCCCACCCCAGCTCACTTCCTTTAGCCATTCGACAGGCAGGTGCTGGCAGTGAGCTGCGGGCTTAAAGGGGTGGCCAGGGCTCTTCCCAACTCGCCTGCCCGTGATCTGCCTTGGGAGGGAGGCTGTCTGATGCTGGCATGGCCCTTAATATGGCGCTGACCGTGGCTGCCAGGGGCTACCCTGCCTCGCCTGCCAGCTCCACTGGGAATGGAATCAGTCACAACAGAACCGTCCAAGGGTGGACCTGATGTGGGCCCCACCACGGGCACTTGGCCTCAGTGGGCCACGGGAGACCCAGAAAAACGACTCTAGTGTGAGACAGTGGTCCCGCCAGTGACCGACAAACCCAGGCATCCCTCTTTGTAAGCAAACTTGACAAATGTGAATCTACTGAACTAAGTCATAGAACAGGTTCATTTTGGATGAACTTCTCTGCTCGAAGCAGAAGCCGCATCCTGAGCCCGGGGGCTGCCCTCTCCCCACGTGGGGGTAGTGCAGAACTGTTCAGTGCCGTGAAAGTAACAGATTTCCGACGCCTGGAAGGAAGTGGGCAGCGCCACCAGAGCAGAAAGAAGGGAGGCAGACTTGTGGGGGTGAGACCAGAGGCCCAGGCCTCGAGTTCCCCACCTTCAACTCTCCAGCAAGGACAGGGTCTTGGCTTGGGACCTTGTCATTTCCTTGCAAGTCCAGTGAACTATCCTGTCAAAAAAGATAGAAGGAAACTGCCCTTTGGGGCTTCTTGTCCCTGGAAAGCCAGCACTGGTTTTATGCTGACTGTGTGTGGGATGCTGGGACTCTATTTGACAGCCATCAGTACTAGAAGCACCCCCTTCCTGGACAAACCTCTGGCCCCAGCCTCACACTCCCCTGGCAAGGAGAGAGGGCTTTAACGATGTCCTGAGCCTAGGATTATAGCCCAGAGATGGGCACTTAAGGAGACCTGGTCATTGGTCCAGACTCGGGCCATCCCTCAGTAAGGGATGGGTTTTTCTGGTGAATCACCTGTGTGGAGAAGCGACCAGGGACAGGTTTGTCCCACTGAAGGGACCAGTGTCCACCAAGCACTTCAGCATCACTTCAGCCAGCATGATGTATCTCATGTTACAGGGAGGGCGGGGCTTTCGGCCCCTGTTTGCAGACTCGTTCACATCTTCATCAGACCACAGTTTCCCCTGTTCAAATCAGCACCACCTCAGTAGCCCCGCTTTCCTTGCTGTGTGGACTTGAAACAAATAAAATGTGTTGCTTCAGTCTGGTATAGACTTCTCTTTCCTTCGAGGGGTGAGGCCTTTGTCCGGTTTCCCTGTTTTGCTTTTGCCAAATATACCTTCAGCTGGTGCTGAATGGTGAACCAGAGGTCCTGTCCTCAAGGCTCAGAAGGAATTGGCCAGGGAGACTCAATCAAATGACGTTCCTCTTCTGCTGTAACCTTCAGCGGGTATGTCTATAGGAAAAAGACTCAAGTCCTTCTTTTTTTTTTTTTTTTTTTTTTTAAGATGGGGTTTCACCATGTTGGTCAGGCTGGTCTTGAACTCCCGACCTCAGGTGATCCACCTGCCTTGGCCTCCAAAGTGCTTGGATTACAGGTGTGAGCCACCGCACCCGGCCCAAAGACTCAAGTCCTTCTGCACTGGCAACCTGGGCTTGCTTTCTGCCTCTGCAGCGTGCCCCTGGACCTCTGCACAGCCCAGACTGGTGGCCCCCTCCTCCTCCCCTCCACCTTGTTCACTCCTCAGCCATCAGATTTCAGCTCCAGTCAATCTCAGGATACCTGCCATACTGCCTGGGCTGAGTGAGGTTCCTTTTTTTAAGATGTTCTGTGGGCCAGGTGCAGTGCCTGTAATCCAAGCATTTTGGGAGGCTGAGGTGAGAGGATCAGTTGAGCCTAGAAATTGGAGACCAGCTGGGGAACAAAGTGAGATCCCATCTCTTCAAAAGAGTAGCCACTCGGAGGCTGAGGCAGGATTCCTGAGACAGTGAGGTAGAGGCAGCAGTGAGCTATGATTGTGCCACTGCACTCCAGCCTGGGTGACAGGGCAAGGCCCTGTCTCAAAAAAAAAGTTGCATGGAATGGATTCTTCAGTTCGTAATTACACTTTCATTTACGGGACTTTGTTTCTTGTGTCTGTCTCTCCGGCGAGATCGTGGGCCAGGAGGGCTGTCTCCCCAGCATCTGTCATGGTGCCTGTCATGTAGCTGGCACTCAGTGTTAGTGCCAAGGAAGAGCCCAGAGGTGTGACAGAGGTGCTCTTTTGGCTGGGGAATTTGCACTGGGCTAGGAGGGATAGGCCAGGCAGCCTTCCATCCAAAAGACTTGGCCTTTTTTTTTTTTTTTTTTTTTTTTTTTCCTAGATGGAATTTCGCTCTTTTTGCCCAGGCTGGAGTGCAATGGTGCGATATCCGCTCACTGCAACCTCCACCTCCTGGGTTCAAGTGATTCTCCTGCCTCAGACTTCCGAGTAGCTAAGATTACAGGCAGGTACCATCACCCCTGGCTAATTTTTTGTTTTTTTTTTTTTGTTTTTAAGTAGAGACGGGGTTTCTCCATATTGGCCAGGTTGGTCTCGAACTCCTGACGACGGGTGATCCACCCGCCTCGACCTTCCAGGCGTGAACCACCGCGCCCGGCCCAAAATACTTGGTTTCTAAAGTGTTTGTTTTACAATCTCGGGTCTTAGAAATAACAAGGGGAAGCTTAGAAATAGTGAGAGGAAGCTGTCCAGGGGCTGTGGATTGTGGGCAGCCTTCCCCTGAGCCAGTACGGGGACGTGGATAATGGGTAACAGATCCTTGCAGCTTTTCTCAGTAGGTCCCTGGACTGTGCGTGAGGCCTGGGATTTCTTTAGCCCTGAGGTGGAGTCAAGCCTGGGCTCCTAGTCTTTGCCGCAGCCTCCGGCCAGCTGCGTAACTTCTCTGAACTGGGGCTTCGCGGATTCTAGAAGATAGCGGACGCGAAAGGAACCCGGCCAAGGCTTGCCCCCGCAGGTGGTCGCGCGTGGTTGCCCCGGGATCACTCGGGCGAAGTTCGCCGGGCCGCACCTGTGACGCCACGGGCGTTGCGCAGCAACCACGAACGCCGCGGCGTTGAGCGCGCGGGCTGGCGGGTGGGGCGGCTCCGGGCTCGGGTCCCGCGGCGGCGCCTGCAGCGCGGATTCCCCCAAGTCCCCGCCCGGGCCGGGCCTCAGGGACGGGCGAGCCCGGGCGCGGGAGGAGGCGGCGGCCCCGGCTCGGGTCCTGCGATTCCCCGCCCCCCTTAGGGCGTCACCCGAGGAGTCCCCGCCCCCCGCCGCGGCCCCGCCCCCGCCGCAAGGCTCCGGCCCCCGTGGCCGGCGCTGGCCCCGCCCCTTGGCCCGGGCGGCCCGGGGTCCCCGGCGGGGCGGGGGTCGGCTCTGGCCCGGGGGGTTCCGGGCGCGGCGCCATGGCCTCCGAGGCGGTGAAGGTGGTCGTGCGCTGCCGCCCCATGAACCAGCGGGAGAGGGAACTGCGCTGCCAGCCGGTGGTGGCTGTGGACTGCGCGCGCGGCCAGTGCTGCATCCAGAACCCGCGCGCCGCTGACGAGCCGCCCAAGCAGTTCACCTTCGACGGCGCCTACCACGTGGACCACGTCACCGAGCAGATCTACAACGAGATCGCCTACCCGCTGGTGGAGGTGAGGGCGCCCGGCAGGCCGCCCTCCAGACGGCAGGGCATCGGGCCTCCCCGAGGGTCCCTAGGGGGCGTTGCTGCCTCCCCAGTCGGGCGGAAAGGCCCTCGAGGGGCGCGGGTGGGGGGCAACAGGTGGGTCCGGAGGTTTTTGTCCAGGCGGGACACACCCGAGACTGCATCTAGTGTCACCTCCGGGTCTGCACTGTCCCCAGCGCCTCCGCCTCCTAGGTTCAAACGATTCTCGTGCCTCAGCTTCCAAAGTAGCTAGGATTACAGACGTGTGCCGCCACGCTCAGCTAATTTTTGTATTTTTAGTAGAGACGGCGTTTCACCATGTTGGCCAGTCTGGTCTCAAACTCCTAACCTCAAGTGATCCACCCATCTTGGCCTCCCAAAGTGCTGGGATTACAGGCATAAACCACCACATCCTGCCGACTGGTGACTTTTCATCTTCCCTCACTGGCAGGTTGGGGCACATCCAGCCCTGTTTTGGTTACAGCATGGGTCTTTGCAGTGAAACTGGGCATAGATGCTATGTGGGCCTTTGGGGGTCTCGGTGGTCTAGGCCGATCTGCCCACACAGGACCCACCCAAGCCCATACTAAATTCTAGAATTTGCGAGCTCATGAGCTCTGCAAGGGCAGGGACTGTGTCCGTCTCGTTCACCACTCTGTCCCTAGGCGGAACGTGGTCAGGCCCTGTCCAATGAGTAGAAACTGATGAATGAAGAATGACTTTGGAAACGGCGCCGGGTTTGCCTCTTTTCTTCTTTCCAGGTCTCATCTTCCACCCCTCCCCCATCCCTCCAGCTCTCCACACCTCACCTGTGTGGCTTTATTTAAGCTGTCATCTCAGCCTGGAATGCCTCCCTCTTCTGTCACCTGGCAAAGTATGAGCCCCACTCCCAGCTCCCCCAGTTCTCCCTGTCTTTGCCACCTGGAAAGCTGTGCTTTGTTCTTTCCACACTGTTCTGTTTTCCCTTCTTTGCACTTCCCCTCCCTGCCTGCTGCCTGGACTCCTGTGGCTGTGTGCTCTGCCCCATAGCCTGCCATGAGAGTCACCTCTGCTATCCGGCTCCCTGCACTGTAGGCAGATGGAGCACCTGTGTGTGGCGGCACTTCCTGTGCCAATGCACAAAATAACCCCATTCGTACCCTGCAGGAGCCTCATAGGAGGTGCCATTCTTACCCTTTAAGGTGTCGGGGTTTTCTGAGTCAGAGTTTCACTCTCAGGCTGGAGTGCAATGGCGTGATCTCGGCTCACTGCAACCTCCACCTCCTGGGTTCAAGCAAGTCTCCTGCCTCAGCCCCCTGAGTAGCTGGGACTACAGGTGCACATCACCTAATTTTCTGTATTTTTTGTAGAGACAGGGTTTTGCCATGTTGTCCAGGCTGGTCTCGAGCTCCTCAGCTCAGGCCTCCCAAAGTGCTGGGATTACAGGCATAAGCCACCATGCTTGGCCTAAGGTCTTCTTTTTAACATCTTATCAATGTGCCTCAGTGAGGCCACCCCAAGGGCGCACGGTCGGTAAAGGTGGGGATGTATGTGGGCCCAGGGGGCCATGCCCACAGCGCAGGGGACAAGGACAGCTCCTACCCCACCAGACAGTCAACTCCTTGAGACGGAGCTGGGTCTTGTTTATCTCCACACTCCAGTGCCATTGTTGGGGGAACCAGGGAGGGCCCTGAGTTGGTGAGTTAGGGGACCCTGCCCAAGCTCTGCTGTGCCTGGTCTGCTGAGCATGGGGTCCTGGCTTCCTCCCATGCAGGGCGTCACTGAGGGCTACAATGGCACCATCTTTGCCTACGGCCAGACCGGCAGTGGGAAGTCCTTCACCATGCAAGGCCTGCCGGACCCACCCTCCCAGAGAGGCATCATCCCCAGGGCCTTCGAGCACGTGTTCGAGAGCGTCCAGGTGTGGGCTTCGCGGAGGGCAGGGGCAGGGCCAGAGCTGCAGCTGGGCCCCAGAGCACTTCTGATGGGTGGCAGGGACACAGGAATTGATCGGAGCCTGGCCTGACCCCATGCACATCAGCAAAGAAGGCTCCATGTTCTGAAAAGGTGGGGGGAAAACACTTAAAACAGAGAAACTTCTGTCCATGCTTTTCTTCTGTCATTGTTGGGTTCTGACCCTTAGTTGAGCATTTCCTGTGGTTCTGCTGACCCTGGGCCCTGGGAGGGTAGGGGTTGTAACAATCACAGCTTCCCCTCTTTATTGAGCAATTCTTATGGACCAAGCCGTGTGCGAAGCCCTTGGCATCCTTACCTCACTGAATCTCTAGCCTGACCCAGTGGGTAGCTGGTAGCCCCGTTTTTGAGAGAGGGAGGTTGAGACTCTGAGCCTTTATGGGCCAAGATGAGACTGGACTCTGAATTCATCCCAGCATCTAGGCTGCAGGTGAGAGTTGCCTGTCGACCATTTGCGGCAGTGCACAGGGAATGGCGGAATGGGGAAAGCGACCCTGGTCAGCTGCAGAGCCCACTGTGCCGCTCCCAGGACTCATCGTGTTGGCCACAGCAACATGTAAGGCCTCGGAGAGCTGCCAGGGACCAGCCCAGAGCCTGTGCTTACCCCAGGCCTTCCGTGTCGCCTCAGGTTTTTTGA